TATCGTTCAAAATTTCACTTTATGTAAAAAGACGACTTTTGCTCCACATTTTTTGGAAGTATATGCGCGAAAAGGAAGGAAGACGAAGAAATGATTGGAGAATGTTTAAAGGAAGTGCTATGTCATTTTTGCAACATTTTTCATTGACTAAAAAAAGCTTCCCACTGATTGCTTTTTAAATCAAGAAAATTTCCTTATTTCCTCTTCAGCTACCATAGTATATCAAAACCACCATCACTTTTTGCAAGGGTCCTTAGTTAAAGTCACTATCATTTTTGTTCTCTTGTCTCTGGAGTATCGAACCTATGCTCCAAAATCTCCTAGAAAGAACTGACAGAAAAATCTCTACACACAAACGGACTTCAAAACAGCTATTTTCGCTAATTGCAAATTAAGGGACGACTATCTCGCATTTCTTGTAGAGCAATCACGATGTTTACATAAGGCTGCGGTGACATCTTCTATGGTTATAATTTGGTAACAGCTCTTTGCTACATATAAGAGGGAATATTTTGGCAGAAAACACACACTCACTCACCCACACATGTCATACATTAATAATAACTACAATTACAAGTCATAATAACAAATGCAACGATCGAAATCTATTTATTAGCGAGTATTTACTCGAAATATTCATCCTCTCAAGTAAAAACATATTTCAAGGGTTGATGGTTTTTGACTATTCATTGAGCATTGCCTTCGTTTTGTATAAAGTTTTCCTGTAAGAATGTAGATCTGATTTTGAGCAAATTTTAGCTATTCAAAGACTAACCTTCTTTTGTAATATGAATCTTCGCTCTTGCTGAGCAATAACTTCTTTATGGATTTTATGATGTATCGTAACAACATCTTCATCGGTCTAAAGCGGAAAGCTGGATTTTCAGTTGGACAATTTGCTACCCACCTTAAGCAAACCAAGCAAATGTATTAGCACAGATGCTATGACGAATAATGCGAGATAAGCGAGTTCAAAGACTATAAACCAGTACGGTCGGATACCAGAGACCTCTGAAACCATGTTGTTAAACGTCTGTAATATGATAGAGTTCACATCATGCTTTACCCGCTTCGGAGGAGTCGGACATCGACCGTCTGGATTAATACCACGAGTGAAAACTAGACGAACCATGCTAGTGATGTAAACAAACTTGTTTGTTAAGCCTCCAAAAGATGATAGTACTCATCCTTTTTATCTGTCGATTCCTTTGAAAAGTTAGAAGATTAGAAGATAGGGAAGTACTGTATTATTACCAACTTTGAATCACTGATTGAGTTCGTGCCGTATTTTTCTAAATAGTACTTGGGTACTTTTGTACTCAGCTCAAAATCCTTAAATAGAAAACGGAAATGTTGAGAATTTTTCCATTTCGAGGGCAGTGGAGGAGATTGTGGGGTTGCCACTAGAGGGAGGGGATAGTAAAGCGGTAGAATGTTAGAAAAAAGTCCTGAAAGCATGGTTTTAGAGGTCACAACAAGTTGAGTGCTCT